AAATTATATTAACCCAACAATTATTTGTATCTTGTAATTCGTATTCTATTCTGTATTTATGTTTCAGTTACATAATTTTTAATTTTATTAATGCTGCTCCTTATAACATAAACTTTGTACTGTCTTTCCAGTTATAAATAACTTTAAAATTGTAATTTGCTTTCAGACTTTGATAAAAATTAATAAAATGAAACTTAAATCTTAAAACAGAAATATATTTGTAATCCTAATTGTAATTACATGTACATGATTGACATGGTGTAATTGAGCAACTCTCTAACAAGAATATGATGTACTTAGAAAGAACAGGAAAATTGTTCTACAAAAACATCTAGATTTTTTTTTTTTTCAAAAGCCATTCAAATGATTGATTTTTAATAATCTGCATTAAAATTATTACTTTTTAATGAAAGTGCCTAAATATTCAAATACCCCATTAATGCCTAAATTTCAAAATGAAAAACATAGTTTCACTATGAATTTGAATGACAAAGAATGAAAATATGTTGCACCAATTTCACAACACTGTTTTGCTATGGTGCTATACCTTATTTAAGACACACTGAGATTAATGTAAATGCTATATATTCTGATAAATATAATTTGATGTTGATGTTTATAAAACTTCCACATATTGTAAAAAATGTGAGAACAATTTTGATTAAATGAATTCAGTGATTTTAATATCTAATTATTGATATTTGGTTTTCACTTTTCATATTCAAATTGGATTTGCAAGATGTCAGGAAGGATGCCTTATCATAGGTATCCCAATCCAAAAAGATGTGTTACGTGGCTTAATCAATAAATGTTATTATTAAAAACCAAAATTGGGTGCCTTGTCCAGCCGATGGTGCCAACTGAAAAATCTACTTAGCAGCATGCACAAGTCAGGATATATCAAAAAAGCTTTCTGGAGCTCAACTTATGAAATTAATTTTAAATGAGCAACAATATATTGCCAAAACGTTAGGTAGGCAGTAGGGATGTGACATTTCTAAACATTGATGCTCAAAATTAAAACATTAATGTTAATAAAACATCAATTCTCAATGCTTTTAATACTGGATTTATTAATTTTTCATTCTTGGTTACTTTGGTTTGAAGAATATTTGATTCACTTATTTAAGGAAAGTATTACAGCTCTCTTTCATGACAGACTTCTCCTTTTCATATAAAAAGTATCAATCAACCACACTGAAAGCAAGTTACCCAAGTTAAAAGCATTGAACACAATACATTGATGGGGGGGAAAAATTTAATACATTACTTAATACAAAATTAAAAACATTGCCATCAATGTTGTTTCCCAAGAAGAGAGCTCTGAGAAGTAAAGAAAAGCAGTTTTCAAGTGACTTCCTAAACCTCGATAACAATATGTTATTATATTTCAGTGAGAAAAAAAAAAAAAAAAAAATCCGGGAACATTGTTCACAAATGTGCTTTAACATAAAACCAAAGGATAGCAAACCCCAAGCAATGCATCAGCTCCTCTGCAATTACTTGAATTACTATTACGTGAGCCACCATTCTAGGTCTTCTAGTAATTTGTGTATTAACATGGTGATTATAATAAGAATAAAGGGACTATCCATGATATTAATGTTAATGTGTGAATAATACATAGCTCAACAATTAAATACCATGTCCTAGTTAGATTCCTGTGAACTGGGTGTACTTTGTAAATCATTGTTTTAAAAATGAAAATAGCTTCATATTTGAACTCAACTTTGAACACCAAGGATGTAATGCGGTTACATCATTTAGGTCTATGTTTATGAGTTTGAGTAAGGAAATGCAAGGCTACCTTCAGCATTTAATAATGGTGGTTAAAAGTATGTATGAAAAAACCAAAATAGTAATAAAGACAGGGAACACAGTAACCGAAGAGATATTTACAAATATAGGTATAAGACAAGGTTGTTCCCTTTCACCAACAAATGTAATATAATAAATATGTAAATGACATATGCAAGTTGTTAAAAGGATGTTGGCACTGGTATAAAAATGACCAAAAAAGATATTTTAATGATTTTATTTCATGTTGATGATACAATTATTATTTAGGAGATATTATAAATTACAGAGAGCTATACACTACCATAGCAAAATTTGCAAAAGATATGGCAGTAACGCATCAAAGCAAAAACGAAAGTGATGGCATTTTGGGGGAAAGATCCAATAAGGTCAAAAATTGTTATTGGAAATAAAATTCTGGAGCAAGCTCTCCCTTTCAAATTATTTAGGCTGCAAACTAAGTAGTTAAAAAAAGATAAAAATACAGAAAGCAAATTGATGAAATATCAAACAATATACGGAATTGCACATAACACTTAAAAAAGTAAGTTAAGGACAGAAATGAGAATTAAATTTCACAATACCATAATAGTTCCTACATTGCTTTACAGAAGTAAAAGTTGAGTATCAATACAAAGTTCATTGACAGGAATACAAAGTGGTGAAATGAGGTTTTTTCAAAGAATAAAGGGATTCATAAGAAGAGACTGAATACGAAATGAAGAAATAAGAAAAGAACTAGTAACATTAATACTAGAATGCAAGAGTATAAGCAAAGATGAGAAGAACATGTAGAGAGAATGAGTGATAATACAATTCCAAAGGATGCACCAAAATGAAGAAGAGCAGTAAGACTGCGATAGAGAGGCTGGAGAGAAACTATGAGGTCAGAACAGGTAGTAGCTTAAGCAGTGAGTAGAAGTTCATGTGTAGGTAAACATTCTGTTGTCAATTTTAGAACAACAAGAAAGACCTATGTTTACGTATGATTAAAAAACCCAGAATATCAAATAGTCATTTTCAATTCACATAGATTTCAAGTTTCTGCAAATTTCTGACCACCTCTGCTATGGAGAGTTACCTATTATATGTGTAAGCTGTCTTGAAATTGAAAACCTCACCCCTCCTTGTAACTCAATTAAGAATAAAGATAGGCACAAATATTGTTGACAAAATATGAAATTTTCATTCCCATGTAATAGAAATTATTTTCCATTGGAAAATGAGCTACAGATTTGATTTAACAGACCTACCATTCAATTAACCAAGCCCCCACTCCTTTCGTATCTAGCTCAATGAGGGCTCAAAAAAGAATTACAGAATATAGACAAGACAGATTGGCTTTCACCTACTAAATGATTCCTTAGCAATTGTCTTACACACATTATAATTATTTTTTTAAAATATTGTCATTCACTCCCTCTTGTTTGTTCCAAGCAAAATAAAAACAGAATATGACGTATTTTTGAGATTTTTAATCTTCAATCAGTACATCTCTTTGATTTATACCCAAAGAGATAAAAATTTAAAATGTGGAACCAATCCGATTAGTAAATTAAAAAAAGTCTTTTCAACTTCACGGTGTTCTACGCAGCCACCCCTTTGGGGTGGTATTCCACCCCACTCTTATACTTGAGTCCAAAGAAAAAGATTCTATTCTTATATTCTTAGAACTATATTTTGATGTATATATTTCTTCAACATTTACAAAACACTCTATTAGTACTATGTAACTCTGCTCTCTCTCCACCCAAGACATCATATTGAGATCACACACAATTGCTATTGTGTTCGCGACTCAAAAAATATTGTGGTTATTAGTAATATTGTTACTAAATGTACTATTCTGAAATAACTGTATATATGCCTGCATTGAATAGTAAGAATACGTAATTGAGTATGTTTATAATGTATTGCCACAATCAAAATTCAATGAGAATTATCCTGTCAAACATGTTTTTAAGTGCAAGAGAAAGTAAGGTATGATTAAATATTTACATCTGTTCAGTGTTTCTTTTACTCTTGTGTTAGTTCCAGAAGAAATTATAAGACTAGTGCAAATTTGTGTACACATGAGTTTGATATTGGAATGCAGACTTCATAACGGGAAATTGCTCAGTAATTTTTCTATTTATTCAGCAAGAACTTGACAAAAAGTAATAATCAAATACTTTCTAAAACTACCAAGGATTAAAAACCAATCTATAAGTAGAAGAGTCTTCACAACTCCATTGTGTTTTAATAGATGTTTTTATAGTTTATTCAGTATGAAACAGTTAAAATGTATGCAAAATGGAAATAATTTACACACCATTTTTTGTTTAATTATTTTTGATTTCATTCATGTTTTAAAACAAATTGTGATTGAAATACTCTTTGTTGATACGAGGTTTTATACAATTTCTGTGATAACAATTATTTGCACAATTTGCTCTCAACCAAAAGTTAAACAGCATTTCACATTATAAGACAAGTTTCCATATTACTGGACACAAAAACAGACAAACTTTTATGCGTTCGCATATTTTTTTTCTTTCAAATCCATTTACCCCTGGATTTCAATTATAAAATTCAAGTATTAGAACTTTGAATTAAATGGGAATTTGAATGAAACATTTTTTTCACATGATCAACCAGAAGTCTGGAGTTACGTCTTTTATTAAAAACAAGAAACGTACATGTGAAAAATAATGATGTATAAGAGATAGGTCTTGGATTCCAAACGTATCAATAGTGCAGACATTAATAATGATATTCTCTTTATCCCACACACGCACGCACACCTAAGCTTTGTGCTGTTCCCTTAGTGTATTAATCACACGTTGATATAAAAGATACTATACAGTTTATTTACAGTGGTTTACAATGTAAACAGTATAAAGGTTTACAAGATAAACAGATTGCAAACTCCATAGTGTTGTGGTGTGATCAACAGACACTGTTGTCATTCTTCCAATGTCCCTGAATTATTTACACTCAGTGTTTGGAGACGTGGCAACAGTGTTTTGAATATTCGTTGAATACTCGTAAAGTTTTATTCGATCTTAAAAATAACTTCAAACTATGTAGATAAATAGAATAAATTAAGAAATTGTATTTTAAGTGGAATATTAAAATTGTAATCAGATACTTGCATTTATAAAATTAAATCTTTAGGAACGGACGCCATTTTCTGTCGGTGACCCAAGCGACGCTATGTCAGTCTTTTGAACAGGTTGTTGGTGAGAGCATCTGTAGAAGGCTACGGAAGAAAAGCAGAGGGATTTCAAAGGGGTACTTAAAACCTTGCGTGTTTCGTTCATATATGTGACGTTTTAATTAATAAACTAGAGTTACATTGAATAAAAACATAAAATTGGTTAATTTAGTGTTTTTTTTGTAAAGGAATGAGCGTTAATATAGCAAGAAACGAAAAGAAAGAAATTCTTGTTATTGAGTTAGACGGCAAGCGTCCATTCTCCGGTGCGGACAGCTGCGGTCCAGGTGATACAAACGAATCTTTAGACGAAGGCAGAAGAATGAGCCGGAGAAAGAAGGCAAAGGTAGTGAGAATTGTCATTTAGTGTTTTTATAAATTGCATTGATAATATAAATAGTATTTTTGAGTTGTGTCCTCATTTTGGAATCATATTCTCGTACAACTTTCAATTTTGCTCTCAGTACCACCTGTTACGAAATGAACAGTAAATGATTCTGCATATTTCATAAATGCAATAATTGTTTGTACTTTTTCTTGTATTTTTGTGTTGAATTTCCTGTTTCAAAAACATGTTTTGAAGTTTGAGGTTATGTTAAATGATTGGGTCAGGCATTCATTATGTATGTAATGCGATACTTAAGAGTTGAACAGTGTTATGATAAGCATTTTATTGCAAGTACTATTGACGGTCTTGTATTTCTATTCTTAAATTTTAAAAAAACATTTTTTGTAAAGGTGGAGTATCGGGAGATGGAGGAGAAGTATAATCAACTGTTAGAGGAAGAAGATGCTTCAGACGCCTCTGAAAAATCCAAGGGAGGTGGCACTCCAACACCAGATAAGAAATTTTTAGCTCAAGAGTCTGTGAAGAAGGAACCTCCAAATCCTGAACCATTATCTGCTGTTCCTAATACTACTGCTACGATCACGACCAAGATTGAGAAGGAAGAAGAAGTTGAACCAGACTCAGAACAAGATGACCCAACAGGTAATATTTAATAACTACACTGGCAGAACTAGTAAAAAAATGAAGTTGTTATTGCCCTTAATCTTCTATTTATGCAGGTTTGGAAGGAGCTGCCTTTCAGAGTCGATTACCATTTGATAAAATGACTGCAACCGAAGCTGCATGCTTTCCAGATGTGGCCCAGGGACCTCCTCAAACTCAAAAAGTGTTTTTACATATTCGGAATCGCTTGGTAAGTTATTTTGTACTTCACATAAGAAATAATCTTTGATATGTAACATACTAATAAAATTCAATACTTTTTAGCTCCAGTTGTGGTTGGAAAATCCTAAACAACAATTGCTCTTTGAGAATGCTTTGCCGCAAGTTGAACCTCCTTACAACAGTGATGCACCTTTAGTAATGAGAGTGCATGCATTCCTTGAACGTCATGGATTCATTAATTTTGGAATTTTCAAGAGACTCAAGGTAAAGAAATCTTAATTTAGTTTTTGTCATTATTAAAGTTTGTTTAGGACTGATGTAAATATGTGTTAACAAAAATTGAAAGTGTTCAGTAGTTTTAATTCAAGGGAAGTTAATATTTTGACTGTGGGTGCTTTAGTACAGAAATAATTAAATCGTGTTGATGTGTTACAAGAACTTTGTTTCTGGACAGTTTGTAAAATTTGTTTTTATTTCTCATATCTGTATATGTATTCCATGGTATTAAATACTGAAATATCCTCTAATAGATAAGTAAATGTTTAGGGGGAAGTATGAATTTACAAATACATTTCTAAAAGCTTTATAAATGTCTCTTACAGCAACTCCCAATCAAGAAGCAGGGAAAGATTATTGTGATTGGTGCTGGGATCGCTGGTCTTGCAGCAGCTCAACAACTGCAGCAGTTTGGAATGGAAGTTGTGGTCTTGGAAGCTCGGGTGTGTTCTCGTTCAAACTTTATTGGTTATGGATGAATAATTGATGTTTTGCGAAATAGTGAAAAAGTATAAAAACTTCCAACAACAATGATCTCATCTCTACAAATGTAATATGAGGAGAAAAAATGTGTTACTGGCATTTGATGTGTACTCATTGTATTACAAAAGTGTTGTATAGTTTTATCCTTGATAAGGAGTGAATGTAATTTGTGCTGTGCTATTTAATGGAAGTGTCACTGTTGATAAGTGAAAATAATGAATTTTGTAATAATTTATTAGTTGTTTCACCTGTGCAATCATATGGTGTGGTTGAGTGATATAAGTGTGGTGATGTGAAATAATGAATACTAGCTTACCATGACGCTTCTACAGGTATTTTCTTCATGTTAAGAAATTTTATATGTGCTATGAAAGTACATAATAAAAAGAAATTTTAAGTATAATACAGTTGCCTGGCTCCATCTGTCCTCTCATACAAAAAGTTATGTGAATAGAAGGATTTTAAAGCATTTTTCATTATAAATTTAGTAAAAGGTTGTTTTTTTTTATTTAATCAATATTTTTATTCCTAAAACACATTGTGGTTGTGTACTTTATTAAATTGATGAAAAATAAGTTCTTGCTAATTTTTGAATTTGAAAGTCATCAACACAATCATCTGTTAGATATTTGTGGTTATATGAATGTCAGTATGAATAGAAGTGAATGTCAGTAGTCATATTGAATTTTTTTTAATATTTACAAGATTTAATATTTGGTTAGTATTTAAAAAAAACAACAGAAATAATTGAAAATATATTTCTTTTTATGTATGTTAAAGTATTAGTAACTTTTTAAATTATTTTGGAAGAACTTTTCAATTTTTTAAATACAAGAGTTATTTCACAGTCTAATAGTTAAAATAATATGCAGTGTATTTGATGAATGATACAATGAACAAATTTAATGTAGATACTGCAATTTTTTTTAAAAAAACTACTGTTATGTAGATATATTATATAAGAAGGTAATTATAGATATTGTGTTATGCTCCCACATAGATTTGAATGAAAACGTGAAATATTTTAAACAATCTTGTATAAACATTACATTATTTTCTGTTAAAAATTCATTGAATTTGTTTGATTGTTGACATATTGTTCAACGCTACTGCTATATCACTAAGCCTTTTCAAATGAGACCTTAAGCATTCTTGTGTGTTCACAATCTACCAATTTTCTTTCCATTTACATAATTTTCTCAAATGGAGCTCCTTGGAATTCTTGCAACTTTAAACACAGTTTACAGTAGTTTCTGAAGCAAGTAGTTTAGAATTATATAGTGTTTAAATATGCATTAATACTGATGATTTTGAAGGTGCGTCTTATGAATTGAAATAGTTGTTCAAAGTATTTTTGTAGACTGTTATGAATTGGAAATGTGAACAATCTAATATTTTTATTTCATATATTAATTATTATATTCTGCATCATGTTGGCTTATTTAACATATGAATATCGGATATGAATTTGGAGAAAGGAGGATATGAATTAAGAGTTAGAAAAAAGTTTTGATGTTGCAAAAAAATAGAATTGAAGTAAAAGTATATTTTGGTTTATTATTAATCATTATAAATCATTCGATAATTTGTGTAAAAAATGACAACAATTAACTATATTAAATGTAATTTCATTGTTTTATAGGATCGTGTTGGTGGCCGAATCGCTACATTCCGTAAATCAAACTACATTGCTGATTTAGGAGCTATGGTGGTGACGGGTCTCGGAGGTAATCCAGTAACAGTTTTGTCAAAACAAATCAACATGGAGTTGCACAAGATAAGACAGAAGTGTCCTCTCTACGAATCTAATGGAAATACTGTAAGTAATGTAGCTTATGTTTGACACTTTAGTGCAACTGTCGAAGTGAACAAAGTAGTTCAATGGTTTCCAAAAGTTGTCGTGAAATTAGAATTTCAAGTGATATTCTAACAAGAACTTGATGCATGTGAAGATCAAAAATATTTTAAAATATGTTGCTAAACATACACTTCATCATGAAATCATTATTTTTGTAATTTTATTAAATATTTCTCTAGTTTCTCAAATACTGTGTAATTTCTTGCAACATATCTAGTTTGAGGACTTAATCCCGATTTGACACTTTTATTATTGTTCATAGGTTATGTTTCTTTGTAACATTTTAAATATTTATTCATAATAATGATACAAGAAAATGAATGCTCTCTTTGAAAATGCTTTTGAAAATAATCAACTTTACTTTTTTTTATTATTTCATAGGTGCCTAAAGACAAAGATGAAATGGTTGAAAGAGAATTCAACCGTTTGCTTGAAGCAACTAGTTATCTGTCTCATCAATTGGATTTCAATTACGCTGGTGGAAAACCTGTGTCTCTGGGTCAGGCACTAGAATGGGTTATAAAGTAAGTCCCCTGATATTTTATTAATTATTTTTTTAATAGTATTTAATTATTTGAATGATTTGAGATTAGGGCCATCTAGATTTTCTTCTTCTTCTGGAAAATGTGTATGTTCACCTACTAGAGGTGATGATCAAGATGAATAAACAAAACCCAAGTAATTTAAACTATATAAACTGAAACTCAAGATCCCCATCATTGCCTCTTGAGATTTTTTTTTTTACGCAGGGTTATTTTTTGTGTTGTTCTGTTAAGAATCTTCATAAAATCTAAGTAGATATATAAAATATTTTGATTAGTGGGGGGTTTGATATGGTGAAATTTGGCTTGTGGTCTGCTTAAAATGAAGATTTATCATCTGTTTCAGGTTACAAGAGAAAAGTGTGAAGGAAAAGCAGGTTCAACATTGGAAGGCAGTGATTAACCTTCAAGAACGTCTGAAAACTAATCAGCTACGGGTGTGTAAATTGTCTGTTATTTTATATGAATAATATATGTGGTGCAATGTAATGTGTGGAATTGTATTATTTATTTTAATGTAGGTATGCCAAAGCTTTATTTTTATGCAGTCGGGTATTTAAATAATTTATTGACTGTTGGTTTCCTTGTGTATGGTACATCATTATTCATTTCATCTGAAATTTTGAACACTTCACCTTGACAACAATCGAAAAGTTTTGAGGTTTTGTAACATCTACTCCAACCTTAATGCAGAATTTCAGTTCACACTTTGAGTTATTTTGCTAATATTTTGACAATTGTAATGAAATTTATGCAGAAAAGATGTTTCTGAAAGCTTATAACATCTCCTACTACATACTTTTTTTTTCTTATTCAATCTGATTGCACAATTACACTCCAAGTAATTGAAGGTCACAATTAAAAATTGTTTTGTTCAGATATAAAAAAGGAAGAAAAAAATAATGGTGAAGTGATAAACTGGCATGAGAGAAGTCCAAAATCGACGAATTGACAAGTGACACTAAGACAATCTTCACTTACATACCACAGTCTGAATGAAACCTAAGGATGCTCTTGGAGAAAGATTTTTCTTCTAGTGCTCTTGATTCAGAAATTTTAAAGTGTACACATCGTAAGTGCAATGCCTGGATTTTGTTGAGTTAGGTCCGTAGTACAAACAAATTAATACTTTTGGAGGTGGGAATTAGACTTACTTGGTGGGTGCAATCCCTAACATACCCTTATCAATTCACGCTCTAAATACTAGAGAAATGGAATTTGTTACATGTCAGTTACTGTAGTATTTTACATTTTACTGTTGTAACCAAACATGTTATGCTGAATGCTTTGGTATTAAATACTTTTGATTGTTTTTTCAGATGTTGTCTTTGAAAGAAAAAATTGATGAGATGAATAAACAATACAAAGAGCTCCAAGAAATCAAAGGACCTCGAGATGTCACTCAAGAATTTGTTGTTCGCTCCAAGCTGCGTGATCTTAACAATGCTTGTCGTGTAAGTAAAAATCTGTAATGTTTATGTTGTTCTTATGTCATGTTTCATGAATTATTTCTGTTAGATAACGTAAAACCTCTACTCATTGCCTATTTCCTTTTCGTTTTAAGGAATGGGATCAGCTGTTGGAGCAGCAGAAAGAAATTGAGGACAAGCTTCAAGAATTGGAAGCATCACCACCAAGGCAAGTTATATCTATATATTTCACTTCAAACACAAATAGCTATAAGATAATCTAAATAACACTAAAAAACGTGAAAGAGAAGTGTAAGAAAAGAAAAATCCATAACGATTTTGGAAAAATCATCATATAAATCTTTCATAACATTGTGTAACTGAATATGGCACATGAACATTTTATCAGCCTCTTGCGAGTGATTAAATTCTTTATTTTCCTGGTTTTTGAGGGTTTTTTTCATAACGGAAAATTAATGAAGGATTTTAGAGGGCTATCATTTATTTTTGTTTGTTTTTATAGGTTTCAATTTTATAGGAAGCTAAAAATCATTAAAATCATTTATGATGAATGTTTTCAAAATATGTTGCAATTTATTACAAGTATTTGTTTTAATTTGAATGATTACAGCATATTTGGGAGTGGGTAAAAATGGTTCAAAACTATTGACTTAATAACAGAACTTTCAGAATACATTTTGGAAATATTTATACTATTTTAAGTCTTATTATATACAGTATATATGAACTTTACTATGTTATGAAGTTTCATTGGTTCTGTTTGGCATAAACCTGTCACAGGTATTTTCATCAAAGACAAATATTGATGCAAGAAAGTCATTTTTTTCTATTAGTGAACCAGAAATGGAACAATGTTTTTGCGTAAATGAATGCAAATGTTCATTATAAGTTAAATAAATTTATTAGTACATGAAAATTGTCAAAAAGGAAACTAAAACAAAAATATACATTGGGCTGTAGATGTCTCCCCCACCCTCTTCGTTATTCAGCACAATTTGTATCTTGGTATTTCTAGATTAAAGAAATGAAATATTAATGATCATTAATTGTGTGAGGACATAGGGTCTGTTTCAACCTTTTTTATTTAATATTTTATTATGCCCTTAATTTAAAACAAAATTAACAGGTGCAAATGTAAGCAAAACTTTTGTTGTGCTGTAACCTGCCTTACCAATATGTCTGTTGAAAAGCAGTATGTGTCCTAGGTCTGTAAATCCCCGTTTGCAGGTGAAGACCTTGACTTATGTTTTGTACAGCATATTCTACAAAATGAAATCTTGTGAGCCCTGTTCTCTTTTAACATTTTCAGGGATTTCGTTCTTCTGGGTACTCTAGCTTCTCAGAATATTGAGTCACAGGGTGTAATGTAGTTAAAATATGTTTTTGGAATAAAAAATGACATACAGTAAATTTCTGAATTTTCTATTTGGAGACAGTGCTGTGAGCAGGTAATGAATGTATGGGAAACAAATTGGGCCAGAGTTACATAACTTAACCCTAGAATTGCACACCTGTGGTTGACTAAATTCCAATATCATTCCAAATTTGCACTGAGTGGAAATTTCTAACGACTATGTAGTATATCACTGTACGTAAATTTTAATTAAACCATGAGCTTGCCCTAGTGTAAGTTGCAGTCTCAGTTGGTGCCCAATTTCATCAAGGATAGATGTTGATTTGTCAGTGGTGCAAATGGGGTCTGTTGAACTCCATTGTATAGTTTCTGATTGTTCTACACACAAAAAATAAAATTGCAGTAGTATTATTTCTACAAAGTTCATCTGATGTGACAATGGGAATTCAGAACATTTTCATTTCATCTGCATTGTTGTGTGATGTACTTATAATCATTATGTTAAAATCTGAAGAAAGATTATGCGCTAAAATATATAATAAATTTTATTTTTAAAATTCCATTTCTGAGTTTTTTCTTGTTTTATGCATTATTAAATGAAAATAAAATAGAAAAACTTGCTATCATACATCATTTTTTTGAATCTTTTGTATCAATGAGAATCTTCAAGGTCTGTGAGATCCCAGTGAGCAGTTTATGTAACAGAAAAAATGATGTAGTTGCAGGGTTAATCTAGATAAAGAGTATTTTTCTATTACATTTTTAGAGGTTTAGCTCTTCTCAGTACCCAAACATCGTAACAGTTGCACAAACTTCAGAAAGTAGAAGAATCTTGAAAGTCTATGTAAAATTCTAATATGATATTCTGTCCAATGATTACAAGGAGAACTTACAGATTGTTTGTTAATACATGCATATTAATATTAGAAAATTTACCCATGTACATTAACATATCTAGAAAGCTCTTAATGCAGTTTAAGGGCTGTCTATACAAATTTGAGTTCCAACATAGGCTATATAATAATGATGTTCTATGAGTGAAATGTTGACCCAGGTCCACATAATTAACAATTGCTTGTAGATAGTCCTGTCAGCATTGCCTGATCATTACTAAATAATTCCTATATTTCTTCTAATAAATTCCTACTATTCATCCTATTAAATATATTTAATCACATATCATCAATTTTGTTTATTAGTAATTATTAAAAATAGTTAGGAATTAGTAAAATCTATTTGTTTTCTTATAGTGATGTGTACTTATCATCACGAGATCGTCAGATATTGGACTGGCACTTCGCAAACCTGGAATTTGCCAACGCAACTCCACTGAGCAACCTGTCACTGAAGCACTGGGACCAGGACGACGACTTCGAGTTTACTGGAAGCCATCTAACAGGTATGAAGCATATTCTTATATATATATACATATATATTTGTTTTATAAATTGAAGACTTTTATTACATTTTCAAACCTAGTGCCGAAACTGAAATAAACTATTATTTCATGAATGATAACTTAATATAAATAGTTCTAAAATCATAATCGACTATATTTGTTAATAATTAAGCAGTGTTTGTTTGTGGGTAATTCTGGATCATTTTGTAATAAAAAATAATGTGAAATGTTACATAATCTTCTTCTGCAAGGTTTTTTGCTTTGACAATTACTAGTTTTCTGGAACCTTCTTTTTGCACATTTTCTTTTTGATGTTCATCATACTCGTATCTTTCTGAAAATTTTAATCTCTTTCAAATATTACATTTAATTTCAAAACTATGTTCCTCATGGGTTGATGATTTGTTTATATTAGTAGTGTGGATGCAAGTTCTTAAGCATTTAAAACTTCATCTTATTAGTTGAATGCGAAGCATTAATCTACCGATGAAGAATGTCGTATGGAACTTTGTGGTGTTCTTGATTTATTTCTTTGATGATTCAGAACTAATTAATCATTTTGCAAAGTTGGAGTTTTTAATACTGATAAACCATCCTCTATATGATTGTAAAGTCTACTCAAACTTCTTGTGTATACCACAAAAACTTTTTCTGTCAAATCATCATGTTCCCTTTATATGCAAATTGTGGAAAATGATTAAACAATTTATTCTATTTCTATTCCTTTTTTTAAAAAAAAATATTGTTTCATGCAGAGCTGAATATTATCTAGAAGTTATAGTATCTGTCCATCTAAACATTGAGAATTATCAGGGATTGTGTACTTTTGGTAGCCACTTTTCATTGCCTTTTTCAACAGAATTTGTTTTGCTGCATTCTCTTTAAGCAAAGAAATCATGACAAGATTCAGGATTGTCATAGGATTTAGAATTCCTGGGGATGAACAATATGCCTTCCAGAAGAGGAAAATAATTTATCTTTTCTTCCTTTAACTTTTTTGTGTAGGTAACCTTGACTCAGTATTTAGGTGCGAAGACCATAATACATTGATTGCATATTCTTCCATTGTATTATCTAGGCTGGAGTGGTATTATCTAGGGTATCTGGAATGCGCATAGTTTGTGTTGTGGCGGCCACCATAACGGAGACACAGCTCGTTGTGGATGTAATGATTCAGGGGTTCATAATTACTCTTGAATATGGTTTTCTAGCAAGTGAATCAGCATGTATTGATAGTCTGAATCATTTTCAGAGCAAGCACTTAATGATATTCCCTCGTCATAAGATTATGACTTCTTACCTTAGAAATCCAAAATTTTGTTTTGTGGTCTTTACTAAGTTTTGTCAATTCCAATTATTTGTATTGCTTGATTTATGAGAAATATCTCCTAAAATGAGCAACTTTGTTTCAAACTGATGCAGGGCAGCAAAAATGTTAGTAATATTTAAGTGTAGATTGTATCATTGTGGTATTTTTTGTTTCAACTGACTATTATTAGTGTTATTACTATTAATTTTTTTGAAGTAAGTATTAAATAGCGATATAATACAATAAAACCTGGATTAGAAAAAAAAACAAGTACTTATTATATAGTTGTCACACCACAGTGTCCCTTGTAATTTTAGTAAAGATGAAATACACTATATGAAGGTATACGCTTCTTTTTCATCATTTGTTAGGTAAAAGCGCTTGTACCTACAGGGAAGCACAGTTTGCAATTTTCCGCTCTTGATGTTTTATTGTATGCAGTTTTATGCCCTTGAACTGGTCTTAAGGTCACCTGATCGTAAATTGTAAGTAAGAAAATTATGAAAACATAATCTTTAGCAGTTTTAAACAAACTATCTGTTATGATTAACTTGTGAATTATAAATCATTTTGTTTTTGTCTGGGTTTCAAAAATTTTGTGTTGAAGGTTCCTAACTCACAAATAAAAATTATAAATAAAAATATGTGAATGTATATGATTATGGTGTAGAGTGTGAAAATCAAATGATATTTGGGCTCATTCCAGAATACCAGCAATATGTATATGTGATAATGTATATGCTGAATAAATTTCTGAGTGCTGAATAAATTTCTGAGAATTTTAAATTGTCACCCCGGATTGAGATATTGCTGCAGTGGAAGTCAAATTGATAGAAATAAATTGAAGGTGATGTACCTTATATATCCCCTCCCTTCCCCCCACAAGTTTTTATTAAATATTCTGAAAAATATATGTATTGTAATAATAGAAAGAGGTCATTGAAAGTAAATATGTGTTGATTCAATATGCAGTGTTTTAAGCCCTTTTTTCCCCCTTCATTCCAAAGGAAAATACATTTTTCTTTCCATTTTCAATATGGTATGATTTTTCTTGCTCCCATTTGATTGAGGGCTTTAATTTTTTGCATATTGAATTGATGTTTGGTCAGATTCTCATAAACGTATAGAAAAAGAATCCTGAATGAACAGCTGTGTACTGGTTACCGCCATTCTAAAGATGATAATAATTGAGTTTAGTTATGATCAATAATAATAAAATGTATTCATTACATTTAGCCAGTTGGACCTGCAATGTTGAGATCTGTTGTACAAATCCCATTAAATTCTGGGGTCAAATAGTCTGCAAAATGGATAGCTTGTAATTCAGTTCTACTTTCTACTGGAGTTCATAGTTATCATTGATATTAATTGAGTAGCCGCTTTGGGGATAATCGAGGAGAGGTAAGGATGTGTAAAAGTCGGAGGAAATTGTGAGAATAAAAATATTATTAGAAGCTATGAAAACTATTATTAGAGACAATTGTGAACTTAGATATTTTTGTTATTCTTCTCTTAAGTTTCTACACCATTATTGTGGCACAATTTTGTTGTTGTTGAACAAATGGGAAGTTTATTGTTTACATAGTGAAATCAGAGAGCTGAATACAATAAATATTCAAGATGCAATAAATAACAAGAGGTACAAAGTGCTTTGAATCGTACTGGCTGTCCGTGACAAGGCCTTAGTGTAAGAGAATTTGAGAATCAGTATCTTTTCCTTGGGGGAGAGCTCATGGGCTTCTCACCTTCACAAAGCTGATGTCATGTATTCCCAAGGGTAGACTTTTTTACTAATTTTCGAGTTTTAAAGTTATTCAGTATTTCAATTGAATATGTTGTAAATACGTTAAAGGAAGATATAAAGACAAATTTGAAATTGGGCAATAATTCTCGCCACGTAAAATAAGGCAATTTCAATTCAATTCAGTTCTTTATAAGAATTCAGCATAGCAACTGCACCCTACAACTATACCCCCGTTTCTCGCACACACACACACACGCACACACTTATTTGTAGAAAATTCCTTTGTGTCACAGGAAAAAAACAGAAAAGGGCTCTTTTTTTATATTATTTTTTAGCAATGTCTTATTCCACATATTTGGTGAGGAAGAAAGTAAAAAAGTCTCAGGAGAAAAGTGACCACTTTTGTAAGCTTCATTATTAGCAGTACAGACTAGTTCAATTTTGTTTCAAAGCTTCTAATTTGTTCATTTCATACAATTGTTTATAAATACTAGAGCTGAAGAGCAAAATTTTTAAAAATAAACTAGAATGTATTTGGTGAAATTAAAATACGGTTCGCTATTAATGATTTAAAATTGATGGACTGCTCATTTAATGCATACGCTTTGTCAGCAATGTTTGAATACAAAGCTTACCGATCAACATTTGATTTAAAGTAATAAAGAGTGAGAGATTGATTTATTTTACCAGATTTTATACCGAGAATAATAGAAACAACACCGTGGAAGCTAAAAATGAGAAGCATGGAAAATTATGTCGTTAAAGTATTATCCGATAAGGAGGCATCCATGGCCGCTTTGATTTCATTTCGGTATAAAATCATCAGCGTGCGGTCGACTATAAAAGGAAATGCATGTTCTACTTCAAGGGCATGAACTAGAAGGCCATGTCAATCAATCTCATTCCGGCAGAGCTAGAGGTCCATTTCCTCCGAGTGCGGATACAGTTGTCCGTCACCGATGCGTCTATCCCGCCCAAAGAGTGCCTCCCAGAAGCTCACCACCTGCCCCCTTCATCTACCTGCTGAAATATTTATCACCCGTAATTTGATTTAGAAGCGGGATAACAGAGAAAGCAAGGAAAACAAGTATTTTATAACGGCGGTCGTTAAGGCGGGCTCGGCTGGTGCAGCAGCGGCGGCGGCGGCGGCAGCAGCGAGCGTTCTCTTTATATTGTTTTACGTAGGGTGTTTGTGTACGGGTCGAGAGCTGTAAAACGTCTCGTGAACGCTGTTAACAAGGTGGCGCCTTTTGCTGGGATATATTCCTCTCGGCGCGGGACGCGCACTGTAGAGGTTGCAAGCGTACAGGAGGAAACTAAATCATTATTTTTTACCTTCATTTTTTTCTCATTCCGCATCATCTGCCACGCTTCCTTTTTCTCTGTTAATTTCTCCTTCTCTTGTGCCTCTTCTTCCCTCACTTTTGCCTTTTTTTCTTCACCTTTATTTTTCGACCGCGTTCTCCTTTTCTCTGGCCTTCGTATTTTCTCATCTTTCGAATTCTACGTCTTAATCCTTTGAATTTACCTTCTTTTATGCTGATTATTCGTTTTCTTTTATATTTTTTTACCTTCGTTCTGTTGCCCTCTGCCATTTTTGGATTAAAAAACAAACTAGGGACAAGTAAGAAATTGCGGCGGACAATTTGTTGACAATTTTATAGTGAATTCAATGGTTGGATTTCGACTGAAAGGTCATAAATTGAATATTATATTACGTGAGTTAATTAGAGTGCTAAATGAATTGTGGTTTCTTTTATACAGTAATAAGAAGAAAGGTGTCGAGAATAGAATATCCTTGACTTAACAATTTCTAGTGCTACACTTCAATTTAAATTTGTTATTCAACATGAAGTTTTCGTGTCAATGAATTAAATGTGTTTTGGCATCAGATGGTCGTCAAAGCAGTGTGGTGGGAATGATGGATCGTGAGATCAAATGGAAGTTGACGCAGCGGTTGATCTTAACTAAACATCAATTTTATCCACTCGTTCTCACATGTTCGGCGATCAGAGATCGATTCGATGCCAAAACTATTAGAGTAATTTGCGCCATCGTGTCATTTAGTAGCGCTTGTACGAGTAGCTCCCGAATCCGAAAGCCTGGTTTCCTGCGACGTGTTTCTGTACCTCAATGGAAGGAGACATTTTATCATGCATGTTTTTAGAGATCGTGGCATTTTGTGTGTTGCTCATTTTAGTGAGATTCACATTTTTCAGATCTCCCACTTAATTAATGTGATTTGACCCTCGTCTTTTCATCATTCTGCCCGTAACATCCACAGTGTTACGCCATCTTCAATTATTTTGTTATTGGTGCAAGCACGATTAGAGATAAACATTTGTCTTCGATTTCGTGAAATGGATGACTATTTGGTTATTCCATTCCCGTTGATACGCTAAATCGCGCCACCGCGGCAAGTTCCTCCGTTCCTGTCCTAACATTTGTCTTTCGAGTTCTTTGTGCGCGTCGTGCTCTCAAGCCATTTGGGCTCAAATTTCTCTATTTACAGTCCTTCCTATTATTCCTGTTCAAGTAATTAATTATTCTCTCAATTAATTTGACAACGATATTGCAAATACATTTTTATTTCTTTGTGTTACTTAAAACGTTTGATTGTTTATTCATAAATCTTTGTTCACACATTGATCTTTAGAACATGAATTAATCACGCAGATGTGTTGTTGCAAAAGATTTCCTTTTTCCGCTGCAGGTACACGTGATAAATATACCTGAACCTCCAGCAAGTTTTGTTGAATACAAATCGTTATCAACGTTATTGAACATGTGTGAGAGACTTGTTATTCTTTTATTTTTTTTTGGCGTTTTGGGATTTAGCAATTTAGTGGTATTACAGTGTGCAATCGAAAACTAACGATTGAGCATTCTCTTTATACAGCGAGTTTGTCACGGAGAGCTGTGATCTCTCCGTGCCTTGCTCGTGTTACATCGATGCCTCTTGTCCTCGCATTCAATGACTTGCGGTTCAGCGTTGCTCGCTCAGGACTCACTAACCCCCTGGTATATCCAACCGCCTGCACGCACCGGGCTCGGGCTGTCTTCCCCTCCTGCCCACGCCCGCCTCTCGCCTCCGATCATACCCGTCCGCCCACACAGACCCTCCCGCGTCACATTTGCCCAAGCCCGCGCACACGACTTGCTCGCCCTCTGCCTCCTCACTAGCCTTCCCCAAATGCCCGCTTCCCTTCGCATGACCCTCGACCTGGGAACACACCACGCTGCCGTCGCAAGCCCATCTGCCCGCTCGTGTCCACATGCTCTCGAACGTTCTCTTGCCGACTTGGCCGCGAATGCTCATCTACTTACGAAACCGGCCTACCATCCAGAAACCATTCAAAGGCCGCTTTATCTCCTTACACACGCATGTCAACATATTCCCCGTCGAATTCACCACAGCCATCGCTGCCCATTTTATCGTAGAATTGCCTTGAAAGCCAGCCGCCTATCACTAATGCTCACGCCTGCCTTCGCGCACTAACACGCCCTTCTCGTGCGTCTGTCGGCGAGCCGTGATTTCGAGTGTTGCTCGCGCGTCGGCACGCGGCGGCGAGCGAAGCCGCCAGGCGCGCCCCGTTTTTATTAGCAAAACCATCGGCGGCCGCCGCGGCCCGCCCGCCCATCCTGGCGGGCGGGTGGAACCACGGCCGGGGAGGGGGAGGGGAGCGGGGCACGTCGGGCCCCGCGGGTCCGGCGGTGAAGCGGCCACCTCCTGTCCGCGCCCACTGCACGCTTTTCCATTCGCACGCCGCCACCGCCACCTCATCCTCCTCCTTTGTTCTTGCTGGAGACCCCGCGCCGCGTGGGTTTACTGTCCAGATTGATGAGCTAGTTAACAGTCTTGTCGAGCTGGTGTTATTACGGCCCCCGGTTTGTTGTCGTGCTTCGAGCTGCTCCGTCTCCTTTCGGGATAGAGGAGGGCGCGGCGGGCGAGGGGCGTTCGCGCGCGCATGCGCTCGTGCCCGCGCGCGCGGCTCAGCGCGGCGCGGAGCGGCGTTTTGCGGGACACGCGA